CCTCCCCCCTTTTTTCCATTAGTGTTATGACAGGTACAATGCTTACACTTCTCAGACATATAATTTCCTTTTTCTATGACCCTATGTGTGACGTCATCAACACCACCGACGCCTAAATAGAACAATGTCTCCCACACTGTCCCTGTCTCTTACCGAAGACGAACACGAAAGGAAATAAGAGCAGGTGGGTGGGAGTTATCGTTCGTCTCTTCTACTACGTCCACAACTGTATTGAAGTACTGCCGGGACTGCTGATATTGCTACAACTCATCATGTATTGCTGTCTGCACAAACTACATTTCCAAACGGTACAGAATGATGATTTAAAAAATGATGGATTAAATAACATTTTGGCTATATTAATCTAAACCTTTGCAGTAGAGTTGGCTTCTCTCATTTTTTGGTTAAACATTTGATTTGTAGTTTCCTGTTCTTGGTGAAGGATGTCAAATGAAATGAACTCATTTACAACAAAATGAATAATGAACAAATGAAGAAATTGAAGAAATGAAGAAATGAAGAAATGAAGAAATTGAAGAAATGAATGAATTGAATAAATGAATGAATGAATGGATGAATGAATAAATTATTAATAAATAAATGAAACAATGAATGCATAAATAGATGAATAAATAAAAGAAGGAATGAACACATGAATGAATGAACAAATAAGTCATTAATGAATAACTGAATAGAGTAAATGAATAAATGAAAGAATCAAAAACCCACATACAGACTATCAGATGCAGGGTACACAGGCTAGAAATACTATACCAAAGGTCAATGAGAACAGTATCAAAAACAAGGTTGTGAAAGTAATGGCTACGTCAATCTACACAGAGACATTGTATTTCCTTATTAAAGGGACAGAACAGAGCATCGTGTTCTATATCAAACAAAGCCATCATAACTTGAGCAATGAAACTAACATTTATAATACATAGCATTTGCATTGTGTATATCCCAGCTTGACAGCAAGCTCTATAATAATCCTTACTCTATACCCCCCCCCCCCCCCAGCAGGGCCAAGAAAAAACAACAACCCAAAATTCTCGGCTCCCAAGGAAGTAGACGGTGCCAGCGGCTGATTGAACACTCAGACACTATCAAACTGAATAGAGTTATTTTGCTAACTATAGCTTGGACCCATTTCCACCTGGGTGAGGTCCTATGTGTGTTACAAGAGATTGTGTGTGTATGTATGAGACAGAGAGAGAGAGAGAGAGAGAGAGAGAGAGAGAGAGAGAGAGAGAGAGAGAGAGAGAGAGAGAGATAGAGAGAGAGATGAGGGAGCGGTGCACAGAAGAGAAGAGAGAACTAATTCTATTACATTGTAGCAAATGAGAATTACAAAGCATGTAAATGATCCAAAAGCTACACAAATAATGTGTCTGTTATTTGTGTGTGTGTGTGTGTGTGTGTGTGTGTGTGTGTGTGTGTGTGTGTGTGTGTGTGTGTGTGTGTGTGTGTGTGTGTGTGTGTGTGTGTGTAAAAGTGGTCTTATTATTATGTACATGAGAAAATCAATTAAATAAAAACGTTTGAATGGTTGAGGGAGACAGTTCTTCCTATGACGAAAGTAACAACTTAATAAAAAACTAAATAGACCTATGAAAAATTATGCCACTACTTTCACGAGTTTTCACTTCTAATCTGGGGAATTAAAGCATTATTTGTTTCTTTACCGAACGAAGCGTTTGGTTGGAAGGAGATAAAACCCTAAATAAAAGTACATGGACAAAAATGATTTTGGTCTAACACGTTCATAAAATGCTATGTTACCATGTCCAAAAAATAATAAAAAGTCATTGTCAACCTAACATGAGTCTTTAAGGATTTATCTACCACATACAGCAGAGACATAAACAGCAGCAATTCTAACACCTGAACTTGCCGGTTTCAGATCTTGACAGAAGCAGCGACCGCCTACATCATGCTTGAAATAGTCACAGGAGAAAATGTCCACAACATTAAGACGTGGGGGACGATCATGGGGGGGGGGGGGGGGGGGTGTAGACGAAGTTATCCCATTGCCATCCGAATGTCTTTCCTAAGGAAATACAAAGTGTTCACAATTGTTGGAAGGGGGGACAACTGATGTCAGATTGGTTCTTGAGTCAACTCACGGTTTTTATTGTCTGTTTCAGCGCTTTTCCTCTAGAATGAAGTTTCTGTATTCTTCAGTGACGTGAGAGCATTCACAAGGTGTTGGCACAGACACAGGGGCGGGAGACTCGTGGATGACGTCACTCTGTGCACGACTCTCTGACTGCCTGTGATCGTTGAGTCGTTGATGAATTTCCGAGATTGAGGCTCGCTCTGCGGGTGAGGGACAGAGGAGGCGTTCAGCGCATACTCTGTGAATGTCTGGCACAGACTCGCCAGCTCTCAGCAACTCCAGGTAGTTCAAGTCTTTGCGTGGGTAGACCCGGAGCGACAAGGCACAGAGACAGACTCCCAGTGAGAAGCTTTCCAGTTTAAACGCATCCTCCACAGGTCGACCTCTGATGTACTCAGGTCCGTCGTAGTACATTGTGGAATAGCAGCCCCAATGTTTCGAACTCTTGTTGGGAACGAACTGAGCCATACCGAAGTCGCATAATTTGGCGTTTCCTTGCGTGTCTATCAACACGTTTTGAAGATTGACGTCTCCGTGAACGATGTGCCGGTCGTGGAGATAGAGCAAAGCGTCGACGACTTGAGAAAAGTACTTGCTCACCTCGGCTTGCGTGTGACGACGCAAATCGTTAAAGAGGTTCGTGGGGTGGTATTCCGTCACTATGACAAATTCTCCCGGACATACCAGCGCCTGTTCAACTTGGATGATGTTGGGGTGTTGTACGTTCTTGAGAAATCGAACCTCATTGTAGAAAAGGAAACGTTGACAACGGTAACCGTTCTCATCTTCAAGAAACTTGAGTCTTTTGAAAGCCATTTTCCTGGATGGATCGTTCACATCAGCAACTCGAATGACGTAACAATAAAAGCCCAAAGCTATATTCCCGTCTCTTTTCAGACCAAGCGCCTGTTCTGGACTGACTGAGGCGACATTGCATTCCCAGGGCTGAAAGTTCATCTTAGTGGACATAGTGAAGCACTGCACGATGTAGCACCCAACACAAACCACAGCAAGCACTTGCACCCAGAAAAATACACGTGAAAAGTCACACAGTTCGTAGTTTCCTGTCAGCCGATAACTCTATCAAGCACTTTGTGTCACAGTTGATTAAGTACACACTCAAGTCCAGAACTGAACAAAAGTTTTTTACTGGTCAAACGTCCAGACGTGTAAAGGTCCCAGAAATAATCGCAAGAAGTTTGTCAACACGGCGATATAACTCCCAGAAGTAGAAAACAGTGAACCTGAAGTACAACTCCCAGAAGATTACAACAGAGTACTTGAAGTACAACGATAATACTCTCGGAAGTATAAAACTTTGTATTTAAAGTCACAAAAAACAGCTGAGGAATTAACTCCACAAGAGAAAAAGCAGTGTCGCTCAGGATATGAAATCCAAAAGTGACGCGAACTCAGAGACAAAGAGAACTAAATTGAAGGACAGAATTGCAAGTACGCGAGATTTTGCCTTTGTTCAATCGTCGAGAAAACACGAGAACATATTACGACCAATCGTGTTTCTTAAAAGTGACGCCATTTCTAAAATAGAACAAAGCCACGTGGTCAGTTGGCCAGTCAGCGTCCATGCCCTCAGGTGATGTGTTCGTGACTGACACGCGGCTCAGCCAATCAGATGGCGTCTCTACCAGAAGCAGCCATCCATAACGAGAGGTACGTGAGAGCGCTC